AAAAAAAAAAAAAACATTCAAGACAACGAATAAAAACTGATACCTGTAGAGATGGTAAACTTTCATTGTGTGTCTGGTAGGATTCAAACCCACAACCTTGGCGTGATAGCCAAGACACATACTAGAGTGCTGCCTTTTGCCACTAGGCTACAGACACTTGTGGCTGCCGTAGGTGCTTTCTATATATAACATGTGCTCATTGAATCAACTCAACAGTTCCCTCGTACTGTGGTGATACATCATGTAAGCATACACTGGTTTACATCTCAACAATTTCAACAAAAGAGATTCATCACTCGTAGTCTAATTCAACAACTTCCGAAACTTTTGTTTCACTTTCCTCAATCATTCCATCCGTCAACTGATCACCAATTTCCTCAACGATAGCTTGATCAATTAATTCATTGGCGGCGTTCGATATCTTATCATTCTCATTTTCATAGCGATCGGACGATAAATGTTGGTGATGATGATGATGATGATGATGATGATGGTGATGGTGATGATGATGATTGTTAATGACCTGGATTATTGAGACTTGAGCTGGTTCTTCTTCTTCTTCTTCTTCTTCTGAATCCTCTTCTGGCTGATATTCAACTTCTATTTCTTCCTCGTCATCATCCGAATCTTCTTCACCCTCATCTCTTTCTCCTTCATCCTCCTCGTCTTCTTCTTCTTCATCCTCCTCGTCATCTTCTGCATTATCATCCACCTCCTCATCATCAAAGCTCAATTCTTCATCATAATCTGAACCCTCTCCTTCCTCCTCCGTTTCTTTCTCTTCTAAATCTTCCACATACCCTTCAGAAGAGATCTCGGTTGTTTTATCTTCTGAACCTTCATCACTGAGTTGTTCGCAATACAGGTTCTCTCCCGAAGGATGGAAACATACCGATCGAGCTTTACTTGCGTCCGAATCTTTAAAACCAGTTCGGTAAAGGTCCATGTCAAGCCATCCAATGGCAGCTCGATCTCCAAAACTGTAAAACAAAAATCATTTTTTGTTTTGTTTTGTTTAGCGTTCAATCACACGTCTGTTTTTGAAATAATTATACACACCCTCCGAAGTAGTAAACCTCGTCGACCTGTGTATAAAAAGACAAAGGATAGATTTTACCCAAAAAAGATAGTCAGCAAACTTGTGAAGAGTCAAAAAAAAAAGAAGAAGAAAGAAAGAAAAAAAATCTCAAAGAAAGAGACTAGTGTGGGAGACCATGAAGTTCAAATGAAACTGACCTGAAACCGAACCCAAGAATGACGATGAGGTCCATCCTCACCATCCCAGAGTGAGCTATCAGGATGTACGCTCTCATAGAGCGCCTTTGCCTCTAAGTTATCAGTTACAGGTTGTATAGTCCCAAATAAGCTAATTCGACGCCAATTAGCAGCCCAAAGCGAGTTGTTACGTTGAATCAAACCAAGTTCGTCCTTGATCGCGATAGTAGCCGAGTGAGATGGATTAGTTTGAATGTTGTGAAAGATGCCCGAGATAGGAAGTGCGAGAAGAAGGAGATCTCCATTTGGGTACGGAGCAAAGTACTCTTGAAGACCTATCGGAAGGCCTTGAAGGGTTTGATCAGGAGCATCTTTGGAATCTTGAAAGCGACGAAGAAAACTGTGTGTGAGTCCTCAATACTTTATGTGCAGTGAAGGAAAAGGCGACATACAAGTACTCATGAGTGTTCCAATGCCCTGAGACCCTATCACACAACAAATCAATCAAGATGAAGTTACCATCAGTTTCTTTTTTTCGTCTTGGAGAATGGAACGCTAAATAAAGTTCAAGTAGGATAGGAATTTCTCAACTATATTGTATCAATTCGCGTGCATGAACAGCTGAGCAGAAGAGAGAAAAACGTCAAAAAGGCAATGGAACGGTCAGTTTTTTTATTACTCATAATCAACACCAACGAAGAGCAAGGATTCTTACCTGCTTCCTGTAGAGTTTCTCGATCACCATCGAGGATGAACTTGGCTGAGGGTGGATGTAGTGGAAGTTGAACGCTCTCTCGTCCGACCGTTGGCAAGGAACATGCCGTACGAAATAACACAGCACTTGAGATGAGAAGAGTGGAAGGCCCGAATAGCATGGTGGTAGGTTTCGAAGATTTGAGTATGTCAAAAAAAGGGACTGAGACCTTAGCGATGGATAGAGCCGAAATTAAAGAGTCAAGACTATGGGAAGGAACAGGGTCACGTGAGCTCTAAATACAAGTGAGATGCCAATCTTCTATACGAATAGGAGGTGGAAGAAAACTTACGCAATGCAGCGGGCTACAGTTTGGCCTTTGATGGGTTGGACCAAAAAAAAAAAAAAAAACGAAAGGCTTTTAGGCTCAGCCTTTGCGGTTGCTAAATATAGAGCCTTCAAAAGGTGTGCGAGTGAGCGAGGGAAACGTTAAAGGAGGATGAAGGGGGCCATTTACCTGCTGAAGAGGATGTCCAATGCCAGTTGGAAACTACGATAAGGTCGATTCTGATGATTGACCGTTAAACAAGTGTCGTAGAGTCAAATGATATTAGGTGAGTCAATCACAGGGAGATTATTACAAAATGTCGTTGAAAGGGCACAATATGAGCAGAGGTTGAAATAGAAAGGTAAAAAAATAATGATACTATGGGTAGACAGATGAAGAGGGCGTCGATGATATACACTTGATTCAGGTAAGAAGTCGCCTTGTGAATAGGCTTGCCCAGTTCAGGTTAAAGTGATCAGGTGAGGATGGTTCAGGTCTGATTGTGATTGAGGTAGGCCTGAAAAGATGAATGATGGGATCCAACCCAATTAAATAGCTGAAGCTGTCTGGAATGAAAGGACAAGCTCGTGAGAATTTTGGTGCAGGCTGGTTGGATTGGACAAGCTAAGGTGAGTGGGATTTGTTTCTAGGATTGGTTGCCAACGACCAGCTTGAGAAATCGTGTGAATCGGTGAATGACAACCTCGTCCAAGCTGCACTCTCAGGGTTGAGCTTGACAAGACTTGCTTAAGGAGACCACCCAAACACCAAACATCTCTCGTCGTGTCCCAACTGAAGAGCTTCATCTCGAACCATCAGCCCAACACTTTATCAAGGCTTTGACATCAGACCTTTTACCTGATGATACAGCACCAAGAGGAGCTTAAATGGCCTAGTCGCCTGATGACAATTCAAGCTGAACCCAAAAACACCACGGCTGAGCATGGACAACCCATTCAGAACCATCTGGCGTACTGTCAGAAAAGTGCTGGATGACAAGTAATTAAAGTCTTGGTATCAAAATCACAACGAAATGCCTTCAACCAATTTCCAGCTCTTTATCATTCTCAATTTCCTTCGGTGTCAAGCCCTCATAACAGACCTCATTCCAAACATCCGGTAATTCTTTCCTGATACGCTGTCTAACATGCACAAAAAGATCTTCTTGCTCACCCTGATCATTCGATAAAGATTCATTCTGTTTTCTCCATTCACTTTCTCGTCTACAGAAGCGTAGCAAGATTGAACACGTCCGTCGATCCGGTCGACATCCATCTTCAGACATCTTTTGCAGTACTACCTCAGTCGCCATACCGAAATGTCGAGCTCGACATAGACATTCAACCCAAGAGTCCCACAGATTCTTATTGCGTTCACATCGCGGCCACCATTCACTCATCGATGGTTTGTTTAATTGAGCCCAACCATCGAGCGCTTCTACATTAAGTTGACCATCACCTAAAGCCTCACTCTCAAACCCAGCGAGATCGAGCATAGTCGCCAAACTTGCATTTGTCATCGAGACTCTAAACCGAGCCTGAGTCGAAAGTTGCTTCCAGACCATCCAGGCATGCGCAAACATACCATTATAAGCAAATCCTTTTAGGAAGTAATGAAGCAACCGTGTATCAGGCTCAACATAGGCGTCGAGTTTGAGTAGGGTGTGAAGCCGTTCAACCTGAAGACGGGTGGATTGATTTCGCGGGTTCGATTTGACTACTCTCGTGAAATGATCCAGTAAACGTACATACGTCTCAGCATCAGGTGGCACACCAGCGTCACGCATATGTTCAAAGATCGCGCTCAACGCATGCATCGATAAAGCTTGTGCCTTTCCAGTTGATGAATCCCTGGATGAGTTAGCCTCGCAGCGAGCGAGATAGAAGATCAGGAAGCGATCAAAGAATGAGCGCGAGGGATTTCCTAGACGGACGAGCTGTTCGTATGAAGTGTATGCTGCATTCCGACTTGGTGAAAGCTTCATGAGGCGCTCGACGAGGTCTTCCAGTATATCTGGACGTAGTTGAAGCCTTTGAGCTACCAGTTTGTCCAATATCATCTTACTCAGCTCCCAGTCATGTGCGTCAAGTGAGAGACGAAGAAAGTCGATCGCAAGATCCCGGCGTTCCTCCAGCTTTGCACTGTCACACGCGCCGAATTCTTCCCACAGTTTACGTAGCAATCCAGGTTGAGAGAGCATAGCGGATCGGAACTTGAGCATCGCACCAATATATTTGGCTAGCACTGGTGCATTCCGGTCGTTGATGAGCTGATACCAATCAAATAAGCGTTCAAACTCAGAACCAATCGACATTCGGTCAAACAAGCTGCTAGCCAGCTCCGGCTTCTCAAAAAGGTCCACTCCGCTCAAGTCCAGAAGCTGATCAGCCAGCTGCTGAGCCCTAGCCAAGTCAGAAGGTGGGGTAATCGAAGAAACAAGGCTCGTAAGTATGTTGATCGTTCTAGCCGCGTCTCGTGGTTTGAGAGGATCTAAAAGTCGAGAAAGGACTTCAAACAGCGTAGCTTCGTCGTCTGCTCGACTTAGATGTGCCACCAGCGACTTCTGGATCCATTCTTCCAACTCAGTGCCTTCTTCAAGTTTCGCCTTAATGAAGGCTAGCGAGCGTGGATCGTCTAATTGAGCGCCGTGTACCAGCAGACTGTCCTCAATCCCTTCAAGCGCAATCTCTTTCACCAAACGAGCACGCTCCTCCACAAGACCTTCGACGACGGACAATCGTAGCAAATGCGCGTATTCGGCTTCACTTTTCTTCGCGCTTCCGTGTTCAACTGCTGCCAATCCATCCCGGAAGCGTACGCAGGCAGCGAGTAACTCACGCCGAGACGCGTCGGTAATTCCTTCGCTAGAGCCTTTCAGCCAATCAAGTGCTTCAGATACCGCGCCCATTCGGCCACATGC